TTTTTCCACTCGATAAAAGTTAACGTGAGGGATTCTGGTGGTCAGGGACAAATGCAATCGCATAGCAGGATGCTATACACGGGCAAAACTTCAGTCAGGATAACAACTGAGATTATTCATCCAATATCCAAGGTAGTTATTAATGTACTGCAACAATATGGGAACAGAACAGCTACGAGAGAATTCAACATTAATGAATCAACGTTACGGAAGTGAAGCGCAGTTTTTGGCTTTCCCCATATTTCAAAAGTGCTTCATCTCTTTGCTATGACTGTCGCCTGGCATAATTTGCAGATGATAATGATTTTAGCCGCTTTTGACCAAAACAGGCGCAGCTTGATGACATCATCAACATGCGCTATCGCGATAGAGCGGTATAGTCAAAATCTCTATCGTTGGCCCAATTTATATCGTTTCTATCGTATATCGTTTATATCGCCCACCCCTAAAAGAAAGAAAGAAAGAAAGAAAGAAAGAAAGAAAGAAAGAAAGAAAGAAAGAAAATCCTCACGTTTGTCGCTTGTTTGTGTCGGTGGTGCTGGGGTTGTTAGGGAAGCCGGAGATGCTGACGATGAGGTACTGACCATCTTGTTCCTGACATGAACCTCAAGCGCTTGCTGTGACATAAAAGAGCATTAAAGCTTAAAGATTTATTTGATATCAGGTGGAATGTTGAAGGAACCACCCCTCCCTTTATTAAATGAAACTACACCCTCTGGAAACATGCCGATGTGCTCCGAGCATCCAATGCAATCACTTTCAGTGTTTTACCTTTGAGGTGAACGACACAAACAGCAGGCCTTCTATATCATCCATCTCCGGTTGCATAGCGCCTGTCAGTGATGGGCTGAGGACGACTGTGGAGGAGGCTGCTGCAGTTTTACACTCTCTTCCCCGGAAATTTGACCAACGTCTGTTCATCTTCTTCCTCCTCTTACAGAATCGAGGTGATGATCCAGGGGTAGACGTTGAGGAATTAGCAGTCACAGATCTCGCTTTAGGCGACATCCATACTTTTAAGCCCTGCTGCACCTCAGGGGCTACGCTGGTGGCAGCGCTTTCTTGCTTGGGCGCAACAAGCACAAGATCACCAAGCGCATGTTTGCCTCTTATGCAGGGCACATATGGTTCATCTTTTCTAGCAGGCTTAGACATTATGGGCTTCAGTACCAATCGGGTCTCTTGCACATTTGATAGAGAAGCAGAGTCATTTTGACTGTTTGCACTGTAAGACACATAAAAGTTAATATTGGTTATTGATACCAAACAAGTGGATTTAATCATGATCTCAGTGCAAAATCCTTTCATTTGAGGTGGAGCAGCATGTGGCAGTGGCATTTTAATAAGCTATTTCCAGCTGTTTAACTGGCAATTTCACAAATTCCTACACCTAATGAGGCAGTCAAGTAAGAAATTAATAATGCATGCAATCCAATACAAACAGCTTGCAAAAATGTTCTGATTATTATACTTTTATATTGCATTCAGACAACTGCGATATTTGTATTATTATATGAAGTATTTCCTCAATTAAATTTGAAGACTTGCAAAATAAATGAATCAGAACTTGCAAATATTCTGAGTTTATACGCTGCAGACGTTTTTTGCAGCAAATCGCCGCGTGCTGTTCCACTGTGGTGTATTCTATGTAACACACACACACACTATGAGTTTATAGACTCATTGGCCACTTCATTGGGGAAACCTGTTCACTTGCTCAGTGAAACAAACATCTAAACAGCCAATCGCATGATAGCTACTCAATGCATTTCCTGCTGACAGGAAGCCAACCACATGCAGAAGAGCATCTCTGAATGCACGACATGTCAAACCTTGAAGCACAACACACTGACTGCCAATTGGACACTAGAAGCCTGGAAAAACATTACCTGGTCTGATAATTGTCACTGCTCCTGATGGTGGTGTAACGATCTGGGGATTTTTTTTTCTGAGCAGACCAGGGCCGCCGTATTTCACGAATCATCTCAGACTAGTTTCTTGAACATGGCAATGACCAGATCGCAATCCAGCAGAGCAAATTTGGGTGGAGGTGCAGCAGACACATCTGCAGCAACTATTAATCCTTTTCCACTAGCACCTACTAGGCTTCGCAAGGCTCGACTCGACTCTGTTTTGGTTGTTTTCCATTACATTTGAGTACCATCTAATGCGCATGTGGTCGTTACAGCAATGCGGCCAAAAGTCCCACGATGTCATT